GCTACTTAATAGTCCCTGAATTCGATGTGGATCTGATTGCACATTGATTATGAGCGAATGAGGCCAGCGTAGGTCAATCACGACATTCAAAGTGACTTTAAAGAGCACAGAGAGAGACGCCGAGAGGATTTTGTGACCGTACCGATGTGACAGGTTGAATTTTTATCGCTCAAGCCCTTCAATAAACGTGATCTTACAGCTTGTAAAAGTGAGGCCCAGCCAGAATTACAGTCACTCACCTCTCACTGTGAAGGTCTCGAACTCAAATTGATGCAGCCACACAGCATGAAATACACCCTCACACCTCCTGGCTGTGGAAATAGTTCCCTAAATGTGTCATGTTCATTTCCATCAGTGGGAAAATCAAAGAACCGCAGAGACACACTGATTTTCTATGGATGATTAATGGTTTTTGCAAAAATCTATTGTCTAATCTACTGTGTTACAAACTACGGTCACGGAGTTTCAAAGACATGTGAAAGTAGAATCAAACACTGAGATCATTGATCTGCAATACCAAATCACTGCAGTACTTTTTTAAAGGTGTTCGCTAAGGTCTTAAGAATAAACCCAATGCACTTTAAAGAGAGAAAGCAAGACGGGAACATGGAGGAACCATTTCACAAGCAGTGAAACCAAGAGCAAGCCATGAAACCAACACGGCAACAGTCCCTGCATCCTCCCTGCCTTTGACTGTCCAGATTTCAAGAGCCAGCAGGTGAAGGAGCGGTGACTCCAGCCGAGCTCTCTTTGGATGGGCCGTATCGAACGGAGGCCAAATGGTCAGCTATGATGACGTGCCAGAGACTAACCACAGACAGGATCTTCTCACTATCGCAGCTCTGCACACACCCCGGAGCTGAGGAGGATTCACCTGGCAGCCGCTCTTCCAGAGCTCATCCCTTAAAAGCACGTTTGAGAAACAGTTTTTCTCATCAGGCCCCAAAAAGACACATGCACACACCTCACAGCGTCTTGTCAGTCACACTATAAATAGCGTCACTGCAAGGAGTGTCACTTCTGCTAACATCATCGGACAGCTGCATAATTTTGTATCAGGCTGCCTTCGAGGGCCGTGGGAACTTTGCGATGGCACACATGATTAGTTCAAACAAACTGAACTCCAGCCCAGCTGACTAATTTAACAGCCCCTAAAGTGAAATTCCCCCCATCATGCGATTTATAATTGAGCTGTTTTGTTCAGCCGCAGTAATTTATTCAGGTAAATTTAAGAACGGCTAACGAACATCTCTCTTTTCAGTCTCCCACAGACACATGCCTGCAGCGTGAGTCACTCGGATTTACGGGATACGGGGTGAAATTACAAGGACAGCAGAGTTTCAGTATGATGTCCTTCACATCTGGCCTGTGGTGTTCTCTGCAGATGTTCTTACAGTCTGAAGGGCATGAAAGAAAAATTCAAATCTATCTATCCTTCTATCTATCTATCGATCCATCAATCTTTATGTGTATTAACAGGTCTTGATCTATAGATGTAGGGTTTTGCAGAAACATCAAATGTTATAACTGGTGCTTTGTTCTATGATTCACTCGTCGACACACACTGACTTAACAGGCCTGTATAGTGGTGTAATATTATTTTCCAGTCAGACACAGATAGCAACCAAGGTATTATTAGATACACCTTGCAGTGTGACATGCACTGAACCTGCCAGATTACGGCCATTGCACAGTGTGTCGGGGCCTTAATCTGATGTCAAGATGTGTCATTTAAATACGATTATTTTTGATTCACTCTGATAAATTTCTGCCCACAATCTGTCACCTTTTCACCTCGCGCCTTTACTCATCATTCTATTGAACCCGGCACCACAGACATACAGTATTCTCTAATGCCGTCATTTGCTCTGCAAGCGAGGCATTTGTTCGCCAGCTTGGAAAAACAATGAAGCATGACTTTGTTGGCAGTCCACTTGAATGTAAATAACAAAGTGACTGCGGCGATGTATCTGTCAGGGTTCACTTATGGAACTGGGCCAATTGATCTGCCCATGATTTTCCATAAGTGTAAACTGCTGAGAGCGGCTGCGTGTTGGTCTGTGTGTGTGAGAACATGTGTACAGCATGCCTGTGTGTTTCCACTCCTGAGGGCAGATCAGAGTATGTCATGGTTGGTTGGACAGTGCCCTCCAGTCACTGGGCTGCATGAATGAGTATGTGCCGGTGGGAAAAAAAGCATCATCTGGCTCCTAACAGTCGCTTTTCTACAGATATCTGTGATCTTACAACAGTAATACAATACGCTTTGTGTTAACTTTAGTGCCACTAGTTTGAAGAGTCTGTTTTTATTTTGGTCACCCCAGTTGTCTTGAGTCATTTAGAGAACAGACATTCAGATAGTGTCATCTTTAAATCATAGTTTTGCTTTGAGTTCAACCAGGAAATTATTTTATTTTGGGACAATTAGTCTAACTTCTTGATCATCCTGCACGCAACCACAGGCAAGGGATGCGTGAAATCTTTCTGTGAGTAAATTAGTGTCAGGTCTGTGCAGACCTGAGAATTCAAATGGTTTTAACTTCTTCACAGTTGGCATTTCTCGTGAAAAGCCCCAAACCAACATGACTTGAATTTGCCTCAGAGCTTTTTCTTCCTTGTAGTTCAAAAAGTTAAACACATCAATGAGCCACACTGTTGCCGCGGATGTCCTTTCATTACCGCCATCATCACAAATACACTGTTCTGTGTAGTAGATATTCATAAGTAGTCCTCAACAAACGAACAAAATTAAACAATGTAAATTACATCAATCATCAATTTTTTTCACTGGTAATATAGTGAAAAGAATGCACCAACCACATGTTGTGATGTATTCAATTCTATTAAATGGCCTCGTAGACCAACGTGGCAGCTTTTGCCTCTCCATCATCACAGAAATTCCCAGCTCCCTGCTGTCCTCTAGTGGATGTATGGCTTCACAACCATGCCAACGTAAAATATATAATATAATATAAACAATTACATTGTTTTAACTAGATGAAAAATGCATTCTTAAACAATTCTGAAACTCTTTAGTGGACTCCAGCTCTTTGATGAAAAAAAAACATATTTCCTGTATCCTCTATCACTAAAAGCTTTAAGATTTTTTAATATAAATATAAATCTGCAGGGTTGTGCAGCCTTGGCGGAGATATGCAAACTCTAAAGGTGCAATGTTATTGGCAATGGACTCATGTTTTATTTTCTCTCTTTATTCAATAATGGATTACAGATGGTTTTACTTTGAACCTTTTCAGACATTTGTATCTTCAGGCCAGTTTTCGTGCCGTAAGAAGCAACACATAAGAATGAACTGGCTGACTAATGAGGACCTTGTGGGTATGAATTCCTTTCAGGATGTGTGTTTGCGTGCAGAAAAAAAAAGTATTGTGCATGCATTGCTTAATTTGCTGTCCTCAGAGCACGTGCACATGGTCCCCCTGAAATGTGGTTTAAAAGACCGAAATCCACATTTTGTTTACTGCCATGCATGAATTCTTCACCATCTTCTCGGATGGGGGGGCTGAACTGTTGCGATGGCAATTACAAGTGTCTCTTTGTGGATGAGTTCATGCATACCTATTTGTGCCTGTGTATTTTCTGGCAAATTGTCTTTTAGCTTGGCCGACTGGATAACGTTACTGTGGGCCAAGTCATTAGCCGCTGAAATAAAGCAGCTTTGTTTTGCTGTCATGGTCCACAAAATTCTATTTAGAATCAGGCTCCCGTCCAGAAACCGACAAAAAGACGAAAAGAAAAGAGAAGAGGCCGTCGGAGTACAGTATCTGAAACAAACTGCCTCTGTGCTCTACGCTGATCCCAATTAACCAGAATCTCTTTTAAGTAGAACATGACATACTCATTTCAAACATTCAGTAGCAAAAGCTTGAATTATGTCTCACTGGAAAGAAGAATAAAATTATAAGAAATGCAACTTCCCAGAAGTGAGTCAGAACTCGCCCAATTAAAGGTCAAATTGACTTTATTCCCATTGTTCCCTCCCGAGTCCATTATGAGGAATTAGAGGAAGGAAGTCTTCACACTGTCAATGGCCTCTATTTCAATTATTACCTCATTCCCATTGTCAGTCACACATTCTCAGTTTCTGTCCGCTCACACAACGAGTGACTCACCTGAACGCTCGTCCATCGCCACCTCTAATATGGCTAATGATCCGCTAGCAGCTAATTTCATTTGTCCATAAGGTGATTTAATATTCTATCATGTAGAGCTGATGACAATTCAAACCAAAATCATTTACTACACTGTCCTATTTCCAAACCATTAAGCATCTCTTCTCACAGCTTTTCCTTTTCTTTTTAGATTTTTTTCTAGACATGGCTCCATTTGTCATTTGTCATCTATTGGAGTTTTTTTTTTTTTTTTTTGCAGATATACAGTAAAGAAGATCTTACTTGAACATGCTATTTAAGGCTCTTGGCTGACACCTAGTGGCGTAATGAGTGCTTCACCTTACATACAACACTCCAGTTTTTTGTGCTATATTTGATATATTTACTGCTTTTAATCTAATAACAACTTAAATAGAGACACCTGACTAAAACACATGACTGTATTTTTAAAATAATGCATTTATCTTGTCAGGTGGCTCAATCGATATTCATCAAACGAATATAATCTGAAACATATTCAATAATAATGAAAGGGAACAAATATAATGTAAATAATCATTATAATGATTTCATTAGTTTTTGTAAAGGTGTAGTCATTTTCCATCTTTAATAATAATAATGAATGAATAATGATAAGTTGGCCAATGGAATACAACCACACACACTAAAGAATAATAAGATTTAACTTAAAACACATTGGAGGAAAATATATATAAAAATTAATTTTAAGCAGTTTGAAAACTAGCTCAGTAAAAATGTATTCGATCTGGTTTTTTTTTAAAACATTCTGAGGAGTTTCCAAATAGACTCTGGCATCTTTATAAAGCACTGACACCAACAGCAGGTGTAAACTTTACCATATTTAATTCCATAGTTGCATATTGATGATGACACACAGTACAAAAGCAATTACCAGATATTCCATTACAACTTGGACCCAGTAAACCCCACCAAAATATCAACTGAAAAGCATTGTTACACAAAGTTTGGTTCTAAACATGGTGCTGTTTTGGGGAGACAAAGCTACGACCTTTAGGATTATTGGGTTTTTTTTATTTCTTGATACAAAAGCTTTATATTGTATTTATATATTACAACACTCACCAGGGAATACAAAAACAAATTCACAAAATGAACCTTGAGCAATGCATGGGGAAACAATTAAGAGTGACACCTATGGCACATTTATTTCCTTTTACATTTTCACAAAAAGGTGCTTATAATCACAAGCTTTAATCTTTAATCACAAGCTTTAATCTTTAATCACAAGCTTTGATTCGATTTTTGCCGCACGTGGTCTGACAACAGGTGGCGCCACAACCCTTTCCACGATAATCCTTCCACTTTTCTTCCCCTGTCTCTTGGAGAGAACAAATGGGGGAAAACACAAGAGGAGGTGAAATTAAATAAAGCGTCTCCAGATTTAAGGCTGAAGTTGCTTCATATGACATTAAACCTTGAAAATGTGAAATATTTGCCAGCAAATACCCACTTAACTGTGACATTTGAGAGGATTTGGAGAGATTGATATGGGTTGATTTGAATCTTTTTTTTAAATCAGTCGTAACCACAGCTTGATTCAGGTGATATGTCCACACCCAGTTGGAATTTTCAGTCGAGCATTAGAGGTACAACAAGACGGATCAGTCAGTCGGTCACATACATATATCACTGTTGTGTTGGGTTTGAGCATTTAGATTTCTGTTTATTTATATTTATAAATAGCAGGAAAATGATTTTCCCTCCTTAGTAATAAAGAACTGGATGAAATTAGTGTATACATTGTTCCTCCCGTGCAGCAGGTGGCAGAAGCACATAAGCAAACATACAGCCGAGTGCTTTATAATTAGGTCCAAGCATTTTGACACAAGTGAAGCATTTTACATTCAGTGTTAATTAAAGACAGAAACAGCAGTCTGAATAAAACACCAACATTCAGACTGTCTGTTAAATGGCCGACTTAGTTTAAGGTAGATTTACAAATGACTGTATATACTTTACATCGACAGTTTGAATAAACACAAACAATCTGTGACACAGGAAACACAATTCAACATTTGATCTTTTTAGACACTGATGTGGCTGAACTACATACGTCTACATTTAGCAGCAATTGTCAATACATCTTTGATTTTATTGTGAAAGTGTAAAAATGATGAAATCAAAATACGACACACCAAACACTCCTATTGTTCTGAAATGAGATATGAAGACTGAACATTGTGAGAGAAACAGATGTGGACAGATGTGACATTCGGAAGAGGTGTGAAGGAGAAGGTTTTTTTTTTTTGAGGTATTTCTGATGGGCACGTTACAAAGCTCACATGTCATTACGAATGAAACAGATACGAGAGCAACAGGAGCATCTTTTCAACATCCACACGAAACAAGAAATACAAGTGGCTCTTGGATGTACAAGTCTGTATAAGGCAGCAGCTGCACACGTAAACAACAATGCCATGAGGCGAGATGCAGGAGGAGCACAGACGGTTCATGGGAAGGATGGAATCCATGTGTGGATGGATGAATTGAGGGGGTTTGATGATGCTGCCGGTTGGTGAGTTCATGGCCTGCAATCACACGAGCGTTTCAGGCAGTGTGTCAGCATTGTCTGAGGACAGCAGTTGCCAGATCTGCCACCGATCCCTCTGCCAGTCCTGCCACTCCGGGCTCTGTGGCACCATCTGGGCCTCCGTCGTCGATGCAGAGTTGCTCTGCGCCGCGATCGACCTCCCGTGCTGAAGAGGGGGGCGCTGAGCGGCTGCGAGCTGAGGCGAGCTTTGAGAACCAGCCAGTTGATAGTGGGCGTTATAGGCAGGCGGAGAGCGGCCATCATTAAGCACAGCAGGGCCGCCGTTGCCAGTGTTCGCCCCGCCTTGAAGTTTGGAGGTCGGGTTAATTCTGTGTCCACTCGCCCGCTGGAGGCCCAGCGTGCTGTTGAGGTGTGACGCTGGCGAGGGGCCTATGTTTAGCTGCAGGCGTGGTCGCCCCGTCTCAACATGAGGGCTTGTACACACTCTGGTGACTGGAGGGTGGGGTCGTTGTACCGTGGCTTGATGCTTGCCATCGCCATGGAGTCCGTCGAGACCTTCCTGTGAGCTGCGGGAGCTTCCCTCTGACATGTTGCCGTGGGAACCTCCAAACAGAACATTGGGAGAATTAATTTACGGACATTTCTCGGTGCTTGGCATAAAGATGCAGAAGAAAATCCTCCAACAAAGCTTGGCTTATTATATTTTTAATATTTATACAGAAATATATAAACACATACGATTTTGATTAACTATATTCATGAAAAAATAAGTTACATTTTGGGCAGAATTTTTGTTATTCTCACCTATATCAAATCTTATCTTTTCTCATCTTATCTTTATTTTATTTTCCTATCTATCTTTTTTATTTTCCTATCTTATCTTTCTTTTCTTATCTCTTCTCATCTTATTTATCTTATCTTGCCTTATTTTTACTTTCCTTTTTCTTTCCTTCCTCCCAGCTTGTTGACTCGTAGAAACTGTTCACAGCACAGGTGAAACTTGGCATTTAAGTCAGATGGTTAGAAATGAATAAAAACCAGCAGCACTCTGGTTTCAGTCCAACGGCTTGGGTGCTTCTTTTTTTATTTCTGTCTGATGCTCAATAATCAACACCAGCTGCCACACACACGCACGTCTCTGGGTTTTGTTTACCTGTGAATGTCTGGTCCTTGAGTGTTGGCTTCAGAGTGCTGTGCCACGTCCCCCAAATATTAACGTGCTCCTCCGATATAGTGTCTGAAGGAAGAAATAAAGATCACACTCATGAAGTAAACAGACTGACTTATACATACAACCCAGGAAAAAACTCTGAACACCATAATTAGGAAAATGTCCCAAGTACCTTTGGTGCCCCAAGGGTCATGTGCTCCCGGCTCCCTGCTCCATCCAGCCACCTGCCCCACCACGGTGTACTGCTCTGGGACACGGAAGTGCTTCTCGCTGCCCGGGCTACCCGGTTCTCCCCTCCGCTCGCTCAGGACCGGGGAGTTGTTGTCATAAGGGGACACCTCGCCGCTGTACGCCTTGTTGGAGTCGCTGGAGGAACGGCGCTCGCTCAGGGTGAAGGGCTCCTCCGATGGCAGCAGATCGGGACTCCTGTTGGGGAGGAAAAAATGCAGTTTAAAAATAGCAAAGAGGAAAGAGACACATTGTGACTGTGTGTGTGAGTGTTACTCACTGTGATGCTTTTCTTCTCAAAAGGTAGTCCACCACGTCTGGATCTGTCTCCAACAGGCTCATCAACACCTCGTTTTGCAGATCTGGAGGCACCTATAGTAAAACAGAGAAGTTAATGAAGAACTAATTAAACTATTAATGATTCTAAAGTTTAGGTAAAGTTTATTGCAAGACAAAAGAACATCACTTGTTGCATCTAATAATAACAGAATCCAGCTTGGACTAACATAGATCTCTTTGAGCCTTTATCCTTATTACCTCTTACCTGTCTTGTCTCTCTGATCTCAGGGTAATTAGCTGAAATGAATGCTTATCAAACATGAGGATTACGCTGCCCAAACACATGAAAGAATGATTCTCATCCCAAATGCACAGGTTGCCAAGTCTTTAACAAATTCAGACATAAGCAGGTTACGAAACAACTTTCAGATGTCATTCATAGAACTTGAGCCGCCTACAAACCTTTCTCACTGACCGAGACCGAGCAGCTCAGTCCCAGTTCACTTATATGCGATGAATAGCTCTTCATTGGCTTACGGCAGGAATGTAAGCCTCAGGGGAACGGCGGTGGCAGATTACAAAACATTACGGTTTAAGGTTTCGGACCTGAAATGACCCGAACGGGCCCGTCTGCGCTGTTTTGAGAATCACAGGAACAGAGAAAGAACAAAAAGCAACTGATGGTGCGGTAGTCCGTGCGAAATCCTGACCTCTGCTGACACCACATGGAGGATTTCATGCCTGAATTTTCTGCGTTTTATTTTGGAGAAAACAAGTTCAAGTATCTGGATGAAAGGTCTTTGACGTTCCTGTCAGCTTACTGGCAACATTTCACTTTCTTGTTAAGACTTAATACGATAATTCAAGCACGATTTTGACCCGAAACACTCCTTATCCATCTGTTATCTTTCACTCTTTGTTTTCTTTGTTCTTCATGTCTTTCTTCTGTTTGCCTCCGTCTCTACTTTCTCTTCTGTCAACTAAACCGGGAAGAACTCTGTATTTTATTAAGTCTGCACAGGAATGCAATAGGGAGACGTGTGCAGGAGAATATGAGGTTGTGTATGTGTGTGTTTCCTTGAGGGATAAAAGAATGGAAGGAGGAGGCAAGAGATAGGAGGTCTAGAGCTGAATGACTGACCATGAAGAGTGTGTGGTAGCTGGCGATCATCCTCTGCAGCACAGCGATGACGGCCGTGCTCTCCTCCGCTCGGGCCGAGCTCTGGACGCTGAACTCCTTATCGGAGCTCTTCTGCTTGTGGAGCAGGTTTGGGCCAAAGATGGTGGCCAGGTTCAAAGACGTCATCTTGTTCCCTGTGATCTGCAGTTGGAGAAACAAAAGGGTTTAGATTTAGAGACTGTGTAGACAGATGGACGACATGGCAGCTCCCATGAAATGAACCTGAAGTATCTCCATTGCCAAAACAAATAGTCAAGTTGTTTCGATAAGTTTGGTTTAAAAGAGTTATTTGATGCTATGGAGACTTGTGCAGATTGTGTAAGTGGTTACTAAGCCAACAGAATTAATTTTCATAATAAAAGCCTATTGTTTGTGTTGAGCATAAAGCAGTTTGCATTTGATTCATCCATTAGTCTCATAAAGATGTTATTTAGCAGAACTGTTTCCCCTGGAAGATCGATACTAGTGCACCTTTTATAAGTGTGTCGTTTTCACACAGGAGAGACAAGGAACAGTATTTTTCTCCAGTACGAGGAAAACATTTTTTAAATCTCACAGCATCCCATTTACATCTCTATCCTCCATCCAGTCATTCTTTTCTCTCTCATCACCCCCTCCACCTTCTGTATCTCTCTGGACTGTTCTTGTCACTCTGAGCAATAGAGTGGCAGTTTCATGGGGTTTGTTAATACTGAGAAGTGTCGGAGTGTGTGACAGCGTCCCCACTTTCCACTAAGGTTGGTTGAGGATGCACATAGTGTGACGCATTTGCAATCTCAAGCTCGAAACAACTCATTTTTGGATGAATTATTATTTTTGTGCTTTTTTCCCACTTTCCTCCCTTTCCACTCCCAGTCCCAAAGGAAAGATGGGAGCAGCGAGAAGCCAAAAGTATTTATGTGTTGTTCCAGGCTGAGTGTGAAGCTCTGCGACTTCCTGTCACGATCTCAGAAACAGATACTGGAGCTGTGGAGTCATGCACACACACTCCATATGGATGGCGAAACCAAACTTAGCTGAATGATAAACACTTGAACCAACATCAGTGTGATAATAACTAACTAAAAATACAGAAAACCTCTCTGAGACTAATTTATTTCATGTGTATTTTGACTTTTTGCTTTGTTCCATGTCCCATCTGCTGACAGATACAGGACTTGAATGAGATGCTTTGGCTTCACTTTTGTTTATTTATCGGACGATAAAACGACGACCCCTGACCAAAAAGTATGCAGGCTTTTGGCTTTACAGTGCATCTTTCAAACGGAGCTCCTGCCCCTGATCATGGGGACCACTGTCTTGGGTTCTCCTGAGTAATATAAACTGTATCACATTCCACATTGACCCTCAGTTTAAATTACACTCATTCTCTGCAGCATCAGGGAATATTTTTAAGTTTCATTACATGCCCTATCACAAGCTTCTCCTGTTGCTTTTCAAGCCAAAGATACTTTTTCCAGATTCCCCTAAATTAAGATACGCAAATTTGTTCCCATAGCGAAATGTTTACTTGCACATTTCACAGCCAGTAGCAGCAGAAAAGCCAAATGTTGACTCCAGTCTTCCAAAGAGCAGATTAGGAGTAAATGCAGCCATTCACATCATGACGGATGTGATAATCAACACCAGGCTGTTCAGTAATCTTGCGTCAACGCCTGTGCTGTTTCAGGCCTGAAAGGCAAAGAGAAATATATACACATACCAACCACACAAACTGATTTCTATCACTTCTTTGGTCATTTCCTCCCAATGAGGTGGAAACAGAAGGCAAACTGGATTTTAGGAGGGTGCCCAAAAGCTGTTAGCACGTGTTGCACACAGCTAGAAGGGGCATGATTTTTCCCTCGTGTTTGTATTTTTTCACGACTAAATTTCTGGATTTGATGAAGGACTTTAATTTCCTGTTGATAAAATCCAGTGCTCACCTCCTGACCATCTTTGTCCTGCCGGTCGTGGGCGTGAGCGGCCACAGTAGACAGAAAGTTCAGCAGGCGATGGAATGTGTCACTGTTGCATGCTGGGAGCAAGTAGACCAGTAGCTGAGCGACATTCTGCTGCTCATCTGGGTCCAACACTGCAACACAGATGAGGATGAGATGGAGGAGGAGATAAAAGAAGAGAAGAGGAAAAGAATGAAGGTGAAGCTTACACGTGGTGTTGATAAAGGCTGTGTAGAGCTCCTTGGTGAGGAGAGGGTCGGGCATGTCCCTGAGGAACTCCTTCAGTAGAGCAGCCACGTCGTGAACGCTGTGCTCCTCCTCAAGCTGGACGTCAACACCACGGTCAAACTCCTCCCGCAGCTGGAGAGACAAAAGCCCAAGAGAGTACAAAGGAGAAAGAGAGGAAGAAGAGGGATTTAGAAATATCCTAACATAACAATGGACACTGTATTGTCGGGAGTGCACACACCCACACACACACTCACTTCCTGCTGGCCCTCCAGAATCAGAATCAGAATCAGAAAAGCTTTTATTGCCAAGTAAGTTTGCACATACATGGAATTTGTTTGATGTTGTTGGTGCATGTCAGACATCTCTAAATATAACAAGATAAAATAAAATCCAGTATTAAAATTTAACAATATAAATATATACACAGTATGTTTTTTGAAGGTAAAAAATGAGAAATAAGAAGAGCAGTACAGCTGAGTAATTATAGTGTTCACAGTATGCAGAGTATTTCCAATATTAGTATATAGCTGAGTGTTAATGTAACGCATAGAGTTGTGAATGCAGTGTCCAAGTGACCTACTAAACTCACAAGTTCCAACTCGTTTGACCAGTAAGGATCTTAATCTCTGTAATCTGACTTTTGGATGACTTCTAGTAAGTCTATTGTCAGACATGATGACAGATACACAGGGGTCACCCGGGTTCAGCATAAACCAGTTTTTACCCTGGCTGGCAAGTGCATAAATGTTGTCATTGGATTGTATTCAAGTCAACCAGCAGAGAATGCAATATGGATGTTTGCACATGTGGCACATAATGTCCAGATGTGGGAATATGCACTGTTTCGTTTAATGAGAATTAAAGAATTATACACAGAGGTAGAGTCTCAGCACAGCGAAAACAAATTCTAAATAGTGGAAAGCAGAAGTTGATAGTAAAGAAGTCATTTTGTCTTTTGGGAATTTTCCATTTGCTCAACGTTGCTATGCATGTTCCGATACAGTGAGAACACCATTGTATTTTATAAACAGAATACAGATCAGTTTTTTGAAAAACTAAGAAACTTCACAGTGACCAAACAGAACCAGAAAAAACTAACAGAACAATGCCTTTCATGAGCAGAATAACCTTTCATGGACGGTGTGGCTGCTCAGGGAATGAGAGCTGGGTGGGATTTCGATTGTAAAAATATTGGGAAAAGTGTGCTGCTACAAGACTCTCTGCAACAGGCAAGATTTACAAACATCTCCCTGATTTCATTTTACAGAATTTTTCAGACTGCGACATCAGCTGCGGTTTCTGAAACCGATGCATAACTTTTTCTCTGCTAATTTTTAATCGCAATTTTCAGAAAAGTCACACACTTTTTTCCAAATGACACGTCCTATATTACCAGAAAACCATGGACATGTAGCAGAAGGTCAAACACGTGTCCTTGTGTCTGCTGGTGAACATATAAACTCCCCTCCCTCAATCTAAGTGAGCTCCTATGGGAGATTTTGAGTGTGATCCACCATCATCAAGACCCCAAATGATGAAATAACCAAGAAAACTCACCTGTCGGACTCTTTTCTTGGAGCTGCCCACTCTAAATATCCCCACCGTCTGCAAACCTGCGAAGAAAAAAAAAATCTGTCTCTCACAGCTGTCATTGTAGTAACAGATGACGGCCAAAGGGCTGGATGCACACATGTATGAAAGCTCTGGAGGTAAAGTAGCTGCTCACCATATTTCTCGATGTGCTGACAGCAGCTGTCAACCACCCGGGGCACCTGGCGGTATATGGGATTAAGGCTCAGCCGTTTGTCCCGGTGCTTCTCCTTCTTACTCAGCGTTTCGGCCGGCAGAGAGAGCTGCAATGCTTCGAGCAGCCGCGACTGGTTGTCGTCCAGGTCAGTGATGGAGTCCACCGACATGCCTCCCTGGAAGACAGTTTGTGCATTTGAGTGAATGAAACCCAGTAACCCAGCCTTTGCCATTTTAGTTCAACTTCATTATCCTCATCTCACCCTCCTGCGTGCTCGTGGTGCAGCTTCGGGGGTGTTGGGTGACGTTGACTCATTGGCCGTCTCTGATGTAGAGCTCAGTGAGGAGTTACTGCTTGATAACTCTTTATTGGATGGCCGCTTGGTGGCAAACTGCAGGACGCATGATCCAAGAGTTATATTTGGCTTTTCATGATAATTTCCCTTATTCTATACGTTACAAGATAATAATATTTGTCCCTAAAACTAGAAGACAAGCATGCCGATGAATTTGCAGATAAATTACAGACCTGTAAAATGGATGAGACAAGGTCGGAGGAGTCCTTGTGCTCCTCGCGCTGTGGAGGGTCCTGACGATAACCATCCTGGCGCTGCCGGTGTGTTCTGTCATTGGCGATGACCTGCGAGAGCGGTATGCTGAAGGCCTGGGGTATGCATTCTGTAAAACAGGGAAGAGACGATGAGGAAAGCTGGTGTGAAGTAGATGAGGCAGGAAAAGAAGGGATGAGAAAGTCAAATAAAACTTTATTTTACTTGAAATCTAACCAACCAAAGCACAGACGTAGCTGTGAGAAGAGGAGAACTAAAAGAAAATTAAACCTCTATAAGAAGCATCCAAAAATAGAAAGGTGACCTTGAAACAACAACATCAAACACATCTCCAGTTCTGCACTTCATTACTTCTGTTTGAGCTGCATTTTACATGTGATTAAAGCGTCACAACACATGTTTACTGCGTCACTTAAAACTCTTTTAGTGCTACTACAGTGCTACAGCTTTTTTCCAAAATGAGACATCACACAGAGACAGATGGAAAATAATTCTGGCTTCGACAAACCACTAATTCTAGAGCCTTTGACCGAAATAACTCAACTTTGATGAGTCTTACCAGAAAGCAAAGTCATGTTCTCCGCGTAGGCCATTTTTAGTAACACAGATGCTAATAACAGACAGTTTATGTATCAACGAAGTGGAGCAAAAACGTGTTCCTGATGCAAGTCTGCAAATCTGTGCTGAAACACAAGACACAATAGATACATATTCTCTTTTACAGAATCTCAGCTGAAGAAAATTAGCCCAGCTTCTGTGTGTGTGTGTGGAGGCAACTTGTAACAAGCGCAGAGAGAAAAAGCAAAATGCATTCCACAACCACAAGTGGAGGGCTGTGGTTCATGAGCAACATGACCACTAACACTGTGACACAACACATTTGCTCTGCAGCCACACAGCGTTCACAAGGCTTATGCAACCCGCGCACACACACACACAATCTGGATTGCATACCGTACAGGGCTTTGCCAACATCATGCACCGCATCATCTGCGCATCTGCAGCCAGACCGCATTTATCGACCCATGTCAGATTGTCATAAATCTTTTTTTTTTTAAACAATCTAGCTTTTCAGCGCTCTTCTTTTCTCTTCTCTACCTTTTTACATTCATGTAGGTGGGGATGAGCTGGTATCTCAGGGTTTCGGGACAGTTAGAAATAACATGAACATGTGCACAGATGGGTGCGGTTTACCTCACAAGACAGAGCAGCCAAACAAGAGCAATTAGTAAATCGTTGCTTCGACTGACAACTTGATCGATAGTATCCGAGGTACCGTCAGCCACCGGCGCTCCCAGATGACGACACATGCATCTCAAGTTACTACAGGCAGTATTTTCATTTCTCTCTCCATTTGTGTTATGCAGAGAAGAGGCTTAGCCGGCCTCTGAGGGAAAGGCAGCGCTGGTATTCAGGGAGAAAATTAAACTTAGAATCCATTTTGGCAGTTTAGACCACATGGTGCGTCTGAGCCATCTGGGCTGTGGAGGGGAAAACCCACCTACACTCTCTTTAAACATTTTCTGACTTAGATTTTACATAACTTATACAAAGAACGTGTCCTCAAATGGACTTTTTCCGTCAATATATTGAGAGTTGTTCCAGCTGTCACGAGCAATAAGTGGTTTTAAGTGGCCTAAGCAGGCTCATTACTTTCAGACCACACAGCTGAGACATAGCATTGTATTTTGATAGAAAACTCAGAGCTTGACGTGCTTATACTCGCTTACTGGGCACAGATGGTTTCAGACAGTATGGATTTCTTACTGGACGCAGTGGGATCTTTTTTTATGACCACAAAGATGCATATTGAATATCAATGTTTATTTTATGTGAATTTATTTCTATAGCTTGTTAAGATGGGGGCAGCAATTTTCAATTTATCTATTTTATCTGTTTAGCTTAGATCAGTTCAATTATTTCTATCCACAGAATGAATACTTACATTAAATGCACATGTACTCTAATAAATTCTAAAAAGAGTTGTCCACTAATTCAGTTTGCCATTTCCATGAAGTTTGGAAACTCCAGTGAGTCAGATTACGAAAAGGAAAACTTAGATAATCACTGGCTCCTATATTTCCCATGGTGCACTCTTCTCTCGATGGTGCAGCTGGTGTCTGTAGACCTTCTACACCTGTGGCAGCAGGTGACTACTTACTGTATGTGAAATACAAATAATAATAACAATTATAATGATCATAAAATGCTTCTTGTATTTCAATGGAGTGGCAATGGAGGATACCAGCTATGCAATAGTCTGCACTATTTTTAGCATGGCAGGCTATCAAAAACGAGTGTGTGTTTTTTGTAAACACAACCTGGGATCTGCACCAACACTCTCACAAATCTGACAAGAGAGGCTCATTTTATTTTATCTTCTGCCCCTCTTTCCATCTGGGCTCCTCTGACTAAGATCCTTTTCGCTTTGTGCCAAATATGCTTCCCTTAGTACAGCGAAGCGGCTGCTTCTCGAAGCCCAGTCCCATACAAGGAGTCCAACCACTTAAGCTAAATATAAACTGTCGAGGCTCAATAAACAAAAACTGTTTTTATAACCTTGCCGTTCACCTGCCTGTGGGGCGGAGACCACGGAGTGGCCCTGGGACTCGCCAGCAGGACGGCAAAATATTCACAACATAGAGGAGCGATGCATAGGGAGAGAGAAAATCCCTGTGAGCAGCAACATGTCAGCGTGCATGCTCCAGGAACTTACTGTACCTTTGTCTTTACTCTTCTCTTTCGCTAGAGAGTCCAATTTCCTCCTCAGCGACTTTTTCCTCTTCTGTCCATCTGTGGCCGGAAAGAAAACAAGAAAGTAAATCATCTGACACAAATGGTCTCCGTTATCTTATCTGGCTAATATCGCTCCCTCATAATAAGCTTACATCAAGAATGCAGACATGAATTTATCACAGGAGGAGGAAGCTGTCTATGAACGAGAATCTGTTCAACTTAAATGTCAGACAGGGTAACCTCCAGTAATATTTAGCAAAAAAAAAAAAAAAAGCACTCATATACTTTGAAATATCACACATGGATATGCATAGAGTTTCTTGGTGAGGTTTTCCCTCAAAAAATAAACCCCAACATCTCAGTTTCTCCCTGATTAAATAAATACAAAATGTAAAGAAAAATAATAAGAGAAAGGAGAGACAAGCTGCCAAAACATTTCAATTCCTCCACAATATACAGAGCTTATAGTGCAATGCTGAGGTACTGATCTTGGTTTGAAGGGTTATTACAGTCTTGTTCTTTCATATTACACGTACCTGCAATTCCTGTTTCTGGCTACAATTGCCAGAAACAGGAATTGCAAACAATCATATCAGTTCTATAGCATGCTTTACATCCAGGGTTTGGACTTGAGTTTTCTGAAAGGAGGAAAACGACGTTGTCAACTGTCAACATGATGAATGAGCCCCGAATTCGCTGATTAATGATCAGGAAACTCTGTAATCTGTGGCACACACAACTTTGAAGCCTTAGAATCCTCTTATCGCCAGGATGTCAGTACGTGGCGACCTCAGCAACTTTTAACGCTATTGTTCGGTCACTCTGTCTGTGTTCTGGCATCCATGACCAACTCTATTACGAATCAGATGGTTTTGGAGTCTTTGTCTTGACCTTCTGCTTTTAGCATCTTCAGTTTGAATCCCAGATGTTCTCTGTATCAAAAGAATGACTTGTGCGCTCAGGAAATTTTATCCAACTCCCACATTGCGCTCGATGGTGGCGTTAGCCTCTGACGTGGTGAAGCCGGTTCAGTTACCACATGTCAGACCATCTCTGACAAATCTGAACAAGTTGTTCTTTGTCAATTTATTTATTGCCACTGTGGTGATACATGAGAAACTTGTCCTCTTTAGCCTCTGAGCTGCAGAAAAAGAAAAACCCTCAGAGTCAAGTGAAACGGACAAGAAGTTAAATGTTAGGGTGTACGAGAGGGGAACAAATAGGAGGGAAATCTGTGAGGAGAGGGTGTGAGGTAGAAGGAGAGAGAAAGCAGATGTTGTGATGGAGAGCAATGGCAGTGAGAGAGAGAGAGAGAGAGAGAGGAGGGAGATAGGAAATGGTTTGGATTTTTGACAGATGGCTCCCAAAGCCATACGGAAATCCCCAAAACCTCCCCAGTTCAACTTCCAACCATTTTTGAGACTGCCTGATGAACCTTTTTTTTACTCTTCAGTCCCATCATAGCCTTGTCCCCTCCCTCTGTCCTTCACCATGTTATATTCATCTTTAATCAGATTTTTGGGTAGTGTGGCTGAAAAAAGACACGTGCGCATTCACACTCTTACACACAAGTTGAAAAACACCCCTTGTTAGCGCACGGCGGCCGTCAGGGGCTCTGGAATTCATAAGCAACACGGACAAGTACATATTAAATCATGGCAGGGAGAGGTTTAACCTTCAGCTGGAATGCAAGGCCCTGGATAATCCACTTGCTGCACTATACTGCTGCTATGGCAGCCACTCCACTCCTATACAGTGCACTGAAATACTGTGCATCTGTGTTAGCACTGGTCCAAAAACAAGACAATCTTCTGAGTTCTAACTACACAGGGTTGTTTCAGAGTTCATCTTCTAATCGCTATGATGAACCCAGCAACCACTCTGTAACAAAGTCTGTTCAGACAGAGCTGACAGGCTGTAAACAAACCGTTTAGGCACATTATCTAAAAATGTGGCTCCCAGCCTGCAGGAGACTCTTAGGGGTCCGAAAACAATTAACCAGACAGGAGAGCAGAAAACAAGATTCTTATTTTTTCTTCTTCTTATTAGACTGCACTCAGCCTCAACTGTAGCGGAAAGGGAGTCTCATGTTATTATGATCAAACAGGAAGCGCCCGATCCCAATGTAACGTATTGTTTACATATGAAGTCGTGTACTCAAAATGTCCCCAAACATAGATCATACAGGACTCTCCTCAAATGATAGGAAGACGTTGTCAGAGGCTCGAGTATTGGCTTTACTTTATGGGACACTTGAAAGTATCTGCACAAGCTTACACAGCAAACCTGGGTTGGGAGGGAGGAGTGTTTGCGACACAGAACAGTTCCGGAGTCAGTAACAGATGCATTTTGTCACATTTACCAGTCACATAAATGTCAGGGTCTTAACAACCTGATTATCTGAGCAGTAAATTCCACACATCTGGAACTCACAACCAACAATTATGTAACACTAATAAACAGCAGTATGCGTAAACAACCAAAAGCACACACCTTTTGGCATGGTGATCTGACATCCCAGGTCATAGTCCTGGTGTAAACGGGTGTACGCCACTTCCTGCAGCCTTGCCCTCTCCAGCTCTGACAAGCTCTGGATGGAAACCGGTGTCAGGCGCACGCTCCGTCCTGACAGGCTGCTCCAGGTGAAATCACCCTGTCATAGACAAGAGAGAACACAAAGAATAGAAGAACAGTTTTTAGTTTGTTTCAGGCGCTAGGCCTTCCACTGCTGTTTTTCACTGTGGGAATGATCGTTAATGGACAATTACAACTATAACATTCAAATATGTTTACCTGTGAATAGTTTGTCGCTTACATTTTTTTATTTACAAATTTAGCAATTATAAGATTAAGATCTTTTGCTAAGTCACTGTCACAAAACACATAAAACTTAAGCCTCACTTCCTCTTTGAAATAATGTCAGAACCCCAGGTAAATTAAATTTTCCGACAAGATAAAATAAAATATGGAAACTGTATCATATAAACCAAACTAAGATAAAAATGAAAGATAAACAGAGAGACAGCATGTATGCTTCTGAGGAGCAAGTGAGGACAATTTCCAGCACTGAAGCCGTCCACTGATGGATTTTCAATCTGCCCTCTGCTCACATAAACTTGCATAAAGAATGCATTGCATATGTGGAGAAGGAGCTGTGGTTAGTCCAGAGCCAGGGCATATAGAAAACAGTCATCGTGCCCAATTCTCTGCAGCAGAAAGACTTTTCTTTTCAGCTTTGACTTAATGTGCGATTGAACCGAAGTGAATGGTAATGAATTTGCTGGAAACCCGGCGAGTGCTTTGGCTTTGATGAACGTTTTGAGTCATCTGAATCTCTGGTCATGCATTCCTCTGTGTCTACTGAGAGGAGAGGTCAGGGAGAGGTAGAGGTTAAGAAAGATGGAGGGAAAAAAGAAAGAGAGGAGACACAGCTCTAATTTATCTGATGCTTTATCCAGACAGAGGGCTTACGGGCGGACTCTAACGTGTCTGTGTTTACAAGCATCACGATTCCCTTCAGAGATTTTTACGCCTCAAATCTTCTAAAATCAGTATTCTCAGACATTGCTTTTCGTAATGAGACCTGTATTAACCATATTCTGAGGTCATAACTTGTTATTTGACCTCACTCAGTGCACTGGAGCAACAGAGTCATCATTGAGCCATGGGAGCAAAACAAGGTGGACACTGGCAGCCTGGAGAGCCACCTCAGTGTGTGTGCACGTGTGTATGAATGAGCCTCTAACAGAAGGCAGTGAAAAACAAGTTGCACGTTGCGCCCTTTCACAGAGAAATTTATTCAGGACAGCTGTGTGTGTTTGTGTGTGTGTGTGTGCACATGCATGCGTGTGCCATTCCTTATCGCTGGTGGAGGAAACCCTTTTACCACCTGCTTGACCTCACACACAGCTTGAGGGGCACACCCGCTTGTACACGCCTGCACACACACACACGGCAAAAGAAAAGACAAACAGTTGGAAAAGTTAAATAAGAGGCCTCTTCTCGGTCGAGCTGGTTCTGCCCAGCAGGATCTCTGAAGGGGATGGGTGAGCTTCAGTTCTTAAGTGTCAACCTATCAAACCGGTGGAATGCTGACAGAAGAGTGAAGGGGGCAGACTAAATCCTGGTATCACTGCTGGACTCTGGGACCTGCAGGGGCGCCCATTCAGATTTACAAACCCGAGGCGTTCTATTGAATTGACAGAAAAACGTTTTTTATTCCCCTTATTTGTGTTAATCACAGATAGAATCCTTAAACTGTTTAATTTAAAACAATATAATTTGTAGTAGTAGTAGTTCTCCAGGTTCTGCCTTGCCTCTCCGGGTAATAGCTCTGGGCACTGTTAAAGGGAAGATTCAAACCTAATGCAGAGTGTGTGGAAAGTTAAGCCTCTTTCCCACATAAAAGCTCAACTTAGTGTCACAAAAACACTGATTTATGATTAATTCTGGCCTTCAAGAGTCATCGGCCACAGCCTGGCCTTAGCAGCAGACACAAGCACTGATCGCTATGAAGGAACAAGGTCATGGTTAAATTTTAACTCCCGGCCTCCACACTTAGAAACTCTTGCTCACGCTCTATAAGATCCCGTTCGGACCTGGTATTAAAATGTATCCTGTGTGTGAATGCACCCAAACCACGCCAAGGCCACATTCTTTCAGCTGTTGTAAACACAAAAGCATCCTGGACCCTGCACTCAGCTGACGTCCTCTACGGAAAATGTGCCACAGTATTAACATTGACCACCACATCATGATTTTTCTTTCCTTCTCTTCCTCTCTCTACATATCATGATGTGTATTTGCATGGAGAGCAGGAGAGTGAGATGTTGCAGGGTGCATTTTAATTCAGGGTGTGAACTGATGTATTTGGAGCCGTCCACAAATCTCTCTGGGGACAGATGTTAATACCCGGGCCTAACACTCATCACATCAACAGCTAATGTGTGTCACCTACTATTAGAGGCCTGTGTAAATTTCAACGTGTTTGGCTGTATCGGTGGAGGTAGATGATATGATCATAACCAACCTACTCCAAAAACCACAGGGTTAATGGAGGGCTAGAAGGCTAATCCCACAAATATCAAGCTACAGTGCATCTCAGTCCTCAGCGTGACGTGAGCGCTCAGTGAGCTGTAACGCTGTTTGAATAGCCGGTATGGAGACAAATCCACAGAGCAGCTACTGTCAAATTCCTTTAACCCCTCATGTTTTGTCTCCAGTGAGGTTGGTTGCTAAGCCTTTACATAACCGCCGTCATCCATTTTCTGTATTTAATATCTCACACACGAAGATGTTGGCTGGAATGGCTGCACAGATCTTATCAGGTCAAAAATCGGTATAAATCACGCATGAATTGCCAGAAAGAGTTTAAGTAAGTGAGACACACTCTTCTGTTGAGCCTGGGATTCAGTACTTGTCGTATTGTTGCTGCTTTGTGTTCCCATCGAACAGATGTTACCCTGGAAAGATTAATGACTCTGCTGACTGGACTGGCACCATGCAGTTAGATGACTAATGCCATTTGAGCTTACGGTGCACTGCAGCATGTGGTTGCTGTGCTATTTCAGACAAAAGTGACAAATGGCATAAAAGCTATGGGCAGCAGAAGATGCCAGTTTCCGTGGCAACACATACACAGAAAAGAAAAGGGCCAGGAAGTGAGAGAAATATTACTATGGTAACGCACCTGAAAGACGCACACACGGAGGCAGTGGGACACTTGTTGGTTTGATGCACAGCATAAATCAATCAAGCTGAATACCGCTTGAGTTTTACGTCGAGCACTAACACCACCACTCGATACTGCATATGCGACAACAGTGTGATCATTACTTATCCCGGAGCGCATCGACAAAAAACGTTTTGGCCCCCGTCAGGCCACTCGCATGTGACCGTGCATACTGTGTGCGTGTTTATATATAGCTGATGCGGACGAGAGAGCAAGAGAAAGAAGGAAATACATGCATGCACACGCTGCATTCAAGCCGTTTGAAAATATCCTTAGCACAACCATAAATGGAGACAATGAGGCAAATCCTCTTTTCAGGAAAAGAAAAAATCTGTTAGAAAGCCTTTAATCCACTGGTTTGAGCAATGAACTGGGTGAAAATCTCGCAAGACTCAAATGAGTGTTGACCTAAAAGAAAGTGCATACGACAGAGGCCAAGGCTGGAGGCAGCGGATTGAGCTTTTTCTGCATGTGTTTCAAATCTTAAACCCTCCAATATTTTCAATTTATAACTCTTTTTATGTATGTTTTATTTCCTTAATAAGATGTGCGCTTCACCACAATCCATCCAGCATGTAACGTCTATTCATTTCTAGTATGACCGCATCAATACAAGAATGAAATGTTATGTAATGGCAATACAGATCTGCCAATGGGGGGAAAACACGCAGCCACTCAGTGGAATCAATGCTCACACACACACACATCTGGTAAGGACAAAACCAGGCTGGTCGGCTTTGTGTTAGTGACTTTCCAGGAAGAGATCACTTATGGTGAACACAGATACTAAAGGACTACTTTGAAATTCTTCACGTCATTCTCGTGTGATGCATCTGGCTTTGAACGACCCTTAAGCCGAGTTTCTGTGCCACCACACTACACCAGAGGAATGCACACATGTATTTTTCAACACTTCTTTTTTTTTTCTTCTCCTTCCTCATTTTGCAGGTTGGCGTCACGCATGCATGTAATAGATTGCATGAGCGGACCTGGAACCTCACATCTGCTTGTAATTACGGCCCCCCGCCCCTTCATTCGTCAGCCAGAGCTGTCGGTGATGCGTGCATGTGGGTGTGTGCATGCTCGTACATGTACCTGTCACACAATAGCAGTTTAGACAGGCTAGTTCCTCTGCCTGTTTTTGTGGGTTGTCCCGGATGCTGCCTGAGGAAACGCAAACCGCCAAATTATGGCTCCTTATTATTCACGCAGTTTACATAACCAACTTTGAAAGTCATTTAGTGGCTTATCTTTGGTTGTGAGATTGGAGGTAATGGTGGCTATCGACCTGCAGAAATTGTTGCCTCCAGCTTCTCCAATGTGAAGTCATTGTAGACTTAAGAAATTTGTGTTTTAGACATTTGCAGAACAAACAAAAGCGGCTTGATTCACGCTTTATAAAGAACATCCAAATACTTGAAGCTTAAAAAAAACAACCTCATTTCCACATTAGTGTCTCAAAACCCATCTGACAACTTATTGGAGCAAAACCCATGATCTATGGGGACAAGTTTGATTCATGGGAAAATGAGTAGAACAAGCATTTAAGCCTGCTTTACAGTAAAAAGCAAGAGAGATAAAAATGCATTCGGTAAAAAAAAGTTACTTTCAGACAGTTTTGCTTTTCCCAGCAGGATTTGCCCCAAGAAAGCTGTTTACTCTTTGTTATATTGTAGTAACGATTAATTATAAAGGGAACTAAAATGCAAAACTTCAACAGTCATCACATTTCTATGATTAGAACTTCCGCCTTGTGCTTGTCTGCCTCCGCCATCCAGTCAAGCTGCAGGAAATATGGTCACATGCCCCCATTGTCTTCCTGAGTGATGGCGCGTGTTTTTTCAAGTATGATGTCAGAAGTTGACCTTTGACATTTTTGGATGTAAAAAGTCATCAATACATAATTTTATACGATTTCATCA